ATGTGTACAGGTTGACTACAGAAGCCAGAAGAAGGTATCTGATTACTTGGAGCTGGAGTTACAGGTTTGTTGTAAGCTGCTTGTTGTGGCTGTCAGGGATTTAAACTCAGGTCCTTTGGAAGAGCCATGGGTGCTCTTGACTGTAGAGTCATCTCTCCAACCCAGACCAGAGATCTTCTTAGTACTCCTTCTCTTCTCTCTTCTCTTCCTTTCTTTTCCTCTTCTTTCTCCTTCTCTTCTTTCATCCTTTTTTTCTTTTTTTACCATGCTGAGGATCAAACCCAAAGCATCAGAAATGCCAGGCAAGTGCTCTACTGCTGAGTCACACACCCAGACTTACTATTTAAAACAATTGTTTTTTTTTTTTTATTGTGTGTATGGTTGTGGTGTGTGTGCATGTGTGTCATGGTGTACTCCTGTAAAAGTCAGATCAGAGAGCTGGGCGTTGGTGGCACACTCCTTTAATCCCAGCACTCGGGAGGCAGAGGCAGGCGGATCTCTGTGAGTTCGAGACCAGCCTGGTCTACAGAGCTAGTTCCAGGACAGCCTCCAAAGCCACAGAGAAACCCTGTCTCGAAAAACCAAAAAAAAAAAAAAAAAAAAAGAGAAGCAGAAAGAGCCTTGCTTTGGGAGAAAGGCTAGGGGTGTGCTGCTCCTATAGACTCTGGTTCCTGCAAGACTTGCTTTCAAGCTATCCACAGCCTGACTTCCTGTGTCCACTGTCTCTGAACATTGAAGCTACCTGTGCCTCTGAAAAATGCCCTTGTATACACAGGGCTACAACTTTCGGTCCTCCTTCATGACAGAGGCCTGAAATCTCAGTCAGCAGCCAGGTGGGGAGGAGAGAGGAGCTGGCGTCTGGCCAGGCATTTGGTTTAAATCATCGTCTGTCCAGCAGGACAAGGAGCACACCCCTGTCTGCCTCCTTTAATGTCTCTAAGAGATTCTGCCAGATGCTTTGCTTCATGTTTTGACGTACATTTCAAAAAGGGAAAAACCACAGGAGAGGTGACTAATTCTGTGGAGGATTTTTGCCTTAACACTCTTTAAGTATTCTAGTATGGTTCAGTCATAAAAGAGAAGTAGAACCCAGATGAGCTGTAATCTACACTACATATCTAACTACCTATGATACCATAAGCATACCATTTATATAAAGATATCTTTCACCTGTAAAACAGGGGCATGAACAACCTCACAAAGATTAAGACATATGGTATACAAAGTATTTCACACAGCTTAGTTAAGCATCTTGACAGGATCTCATAGGCCTGGCTGGCCTTGAATTCCAAGGATAATCTGGGACCCCTGGTCCCCATGCCTCTACTTCCCTAGTGTTTACATACTACCACACCTGCGTTATAGGATGTTAGGGACTGAACTCAGAGCGTTGTCCATGTGAGGTAGGCATTCTACCAACTCTGGGATACCTCCAGCCAGAAAAGAACTATTTTTAACTTATAGCTCTGTCACGAATCCAATCCTTTGATTTGAGTATAGGGTTCTGTGTGCACACTCAGTGTTTGTGCGTGCTTAGCATTTGATACACTCATGATACACCTCTGATGTTGTCTGATAAGACTTTTTTTTGAGATCATGGGGTCAGATTACTGACCTATCAGTGGAGTGACATGGGCATTCTCGGTATTAGTCATCCAGGGAAGGGATGAGCCCACAGTTCAGAATCTGGAACTAGATCAGAGTAGTAGATGGCACTTTCTCCATTGTCCTGTGTTTGGAGCTCCAGGAATATGGAAGGGCACATCTGCTCAGTAAGCCTTAATAATGTCAAGGTGGGAACCAAGGGCCAGCAGAAAGTTTGCATCAAATAAAATAGACTTCACATTGTAGAGGGAGCAGGTTGTAGCAGCGGTGGGCACTGTGGCGTTAGTTCATCCCTTGCGTGCATGTGAACCATTGGAAAAGCAGACTCTCCGAGTAGAAGATGAGTCTCAAGACAGACATGGGGCTTATCCTCCCGTGTTTCTTCCTATATGGACTCCACTTATAACAGTGGATTTCCTTGCAAGTTCTTTAAAACTTTTCAAAGGTTCCTGACTTTATCAATGTTCTATTGCTGTGAAGAGACACCATGACAACTCTTACAAAGGAAAACATTTAATTGGGGCTGGTTTACAGTTTCATAGATTTAGTTCATTGCTGTCATGATGGGAAGCAAGTCAGCATGCAGGCAGACATGGTGCTGGAGAGGTAGCAGAGTTCTACATCTTGATCCACAGGCAACAAGAAGTGAGCTGTCATACTGGGCATGGCTTGAGCATACATGAGACCTCCATAGTGACACACTTCCTCCAACAAGGCCACACCTACCTCAACAAGGCCACACCTCCTAATAGTGCCACTTCCTATGGGCCAAGCATTCAAATACTCGAGTCTGTGAAGACCATACCTATTCAGAACACCATACCAGTGGCTGGAGAGATGGTTCAGTGGTTAAGAGGTCTTCCAGAGGACCTAGGTTCAATTCTCAAAACACCACACCTCCTAATCTCTGTCTAGGAGCACCACTTCCTAATGAATCTAAATACATGAGCCTAGGGGACCATTCCCATTCAAACGCCCTCAGTTCTCCAAGATTTATGACTTCACTAGCTCTGGGCAGTTGGCTAGGATTCCAGTACCAAGCATGATTTCCCTCTTGTTGAGTTAATTCTCTTGTTAAGTTCAATTAGAGAGCAGTTGGTTACCACCAAGCTGTGCATGCCACTACTTTCTTCTCAGGGTTATCTTGCCATGCTGGTTGTGGTTCACAGGCATTGTACAGAGTAGGTTTGTTGGTTGCTCTGCTTCTTTGGAAGCTTGTGCGACCCCTTCTTGTACCATGAAAACTAGTCCTCAGGGAGTAAACCTGTATTTTATTTGGAAAATAATCGTGCTGTGTAGAGTGTTAGCTAACATACTTTTTTTTAAATTTGAGTTTTTGATATAGGGTCTTAGTGTGTAGCCCAGGCTGACCTTAAGCTTTCAGGGATCTTCCTGTCTCCGCTTTCCCAGTGCTGTGACTCTAGGCATGGATTGCCAAGCCTAGCTCAACAGTTTATTAGTTACTTATTTTAGGGCTTTTGAGACAGGGTCTCCTGTAGCCCATTCAAGCCTTTTTTGGTTGTGGTCTCTTTTTACTGGTGTTGGGGATTGAGCCCAGGGCTTTAGGAATAACAAGCATGCTTGTTTTACTGCCGAGTAACCTTTCCAACCACATGCTGGCCTTGAACTCCTGATCCCTCTGCTTCTGTCTCCTGAGACTACAAGTGTGATCTTGAACAGCTGATTCAATGGTATTGTTTTAAATATTTGAGAGGAATTCAAAGAAGTACAGATTAATATGCTTTCGAATAACTGAAATAAAATACTTTATTGACTAGTATACTGTACAAAATATTGGGAGGGGTTTGTAGAGAAATCTGTTCAACTTTTAAAATGTTAACTGGGTATGTGTTCAAATGCTTGCATAAGGATCCCATTTTATTTACTATGTGCTGCTAGTACTTTTTTTCGAGACAGGGTTCCTCTGTATTGTTTTGGAGGCTGTCCTGGAACTTGTTTGGTAGACCAGGCTGGTCTCAAACTCACAGAGATCCACCTGCCTCTGTCTCCCGAGTGCTGGAAATAAAGGTGTGTGCCACTACCGCCTGGCGCTGCTAGTAGTTTTACTGATAGAAAAATAAGCAAAAGGAAAATCTGTCTTACAGTAAGTTCACTGAATCTGAGCCTCTTGGAAAACTCATGGAGAACAATAACTTGTCTTCATTTTCAAGACCTATATTATTTCAGATTAGATGTGGGTGTTATAATTGTTTTAATTATATCCGGAGTTCTAAGTATTCACCAAGACTGAAACAAGAGGATCGCTTGAGTCCAGGAATTTAAGGCCAGCCTAGGCACCTAGAGAGAATCTCTCCTCTCATAATATCTAAAGATACAAACTACACACACACACACACACACACACACACACACACACACTCTTTCTCTCTCTCACATAGACAGACACTATTTCCAGACAGAATGTCCCACTGCATAACACAACTTTATTCACTAAAAATTTATGTGGTAGAAACACATAAATAAAAGCACTACAAACCGTTTTGAGAGGCTGTGGGACTATGGAGCCACGGAGGAAGAGGTGGGGAAAGACTTAGGGAGCAGGCGACATTTAGGATCCTCTGCAATCAGGAATGGCCAGTTCTCCTCCTCACCACACCTGCTTGGCCTGCTCTGTAGGTTCTTTCACTGTGATTATAGAAGTTCAGTTAAAAAAACCCAGTAATAAAAGGCTGGAGCCGGGGATGGGGGCGCATGCCTTTAATCCCAGCACTCAGGAGGCAGAGGCCAGCTCATCTCTGTGAGTTCGAGACCAGCCTGGTTTATAAGCTATTTCCAGGACAAGTTCCAAATCTACACTGAGAAACCTAGTCTCGAACCCCCTCCTCCCCAAAATTTAAATACTAATATTTTGCATTTTAAAAGCCTCAACAAAATTTTAAATGAGTACACACATATCCTGAAATATCATTAAAGATTAAAACGAGTTATTCATCTGAGCCACATTGTTAAGATATTTTAAAACTTTTTTTTGAGGGAAATATCCAAGTATACTGAACTTATCCATGAAATAACAAAACACTACAGCCAAGTTTCTCAGGAACATAGGATTCAAAATTCTCACTGGAAGGTCACGCCAAATTGCACCATCAACCTATCAATGTGTGTAATACTGAGAACAGACCGGCAATTTATTTGTTGCTATGAGAACACTATTTTGTATCAGAAATTGCAGCCTTGACGACGCAGTGTTTGCGCCTATTTTGCACATGTTTTCCTACAGCGAGTCCTCTCCTACGATCCCAGAGAGAGCTCCGGCAGCCGGCCCACGTCCGTTTTCGCTCCAGTTCCCTGGGCTGCTCAGTGGCTCCGCCTAGAGGGCGGCCCAGGGGACGCACAGGGCCTGGAGGGCGGGCACGCGGCTTTACGGTTGTGAATGGGACAGGGAGAAGCCGGGCTCGGGGCCCCGGGCTGGGGGACCGCGCTCTGCACCCGAGATCTGCGCAAAAACCAAACCAACAAAAACCCCAAACAAGCAAACAAACAAATGAGCGAGGCCCGCCACGTCCGCCGAGGGGGAGCTCGGAGTACTTGAGCTCTCAGGATAGTCACAAACAGGCCAAGGCAGGCAACGGGACTTTATTAATGAACGACTCCCCTAGGCCGAAAGAACTCGGTTTTCCCCCTCGGTTCCGGGGGGGAAAGCGGAGCGGCCCCGGGCGGAAGAGGGAGGACCCCGCGCGTCAAGGGGCTCCCTCCCGCAGGCCCGGCTCGCGCGCCCCGCAGGGTTTGTGATGGGCATCTCCCAGGCGACGGGCTCCGCACCAAGATGGCGGAGGAAAAGGAGCGGGAAGGTACAGGTAGGAGCGCTGACGGGGGGCCACGGAGTCGCGGCCACGACAGGAAAAGCCCTGCCAGGTCTCCATCTTGAGCCCCTCGGCGGCGGGCAGACGGTGGGCCCGGGAGCGGCGCCAGCCCGCGTCCCCGCCGTCGGCTCCGCCCCGCGGCCCCCTCCGCCCCGCCCGCCCGGCCGCCCTCCCATCCCCCGCTGAGGTCCGCGCGGGCTGCGGCGGTGGCAGCCACCGGGGACGTGCATAATGGCGTCCTTGTTCCTGGGGCCCCCACGCCCTCTGCGGGCGCCCGCCGCGGCCCGGGCTGTGGGGACCAGGAGGGAGGCCCCGAAGGTGGACGCGAGCGGGCGCTGGAACCGGGCGGGATCCTCTGCGGTCGCGCCGTAGCCACGCCCAGCCCGGCCCGGCCCGGCCCCAGGCGCCGGCCGCCTCCATCTTGTCTCACCCGCCAGGCGGCAGAGCGTGGCCTGGAGGTCACACTGGGCCGTGCTCGCCAGGTCTCGCTAGAACCTCGTTTAAAGCAAGAGTTACCCAAATAACCACTTTATAATAAGGGCGGAAAGAAAACCCAGCCGGGACCCGTCGGGGCCGCCCAGACCGGCCGGGTTCCCCGCGGGTGCTGGGGAGCGACCGAGGCTGCAGTGACCGCGAGGCCTCAGGAGACCCAAAAAACGGATGATCCGCGTGGAACTGCAAGACCTTTTGAGTTGGTCTCTAACCCAGCAGCATGACTTAAAATCGGATCCGTGGTTAGCATCTAGCGACCCAACATTAATTACACGATAATTGACAAAAATCACCACTACATGAACGAATAAATAAATAAAGCAAGCCCTAAAATAGTAAAGGACAAATATTATAGAACGCTCCATCTTTGTTGCAGTTTTTTGAGTTTTCACAACACACCATATCGACTCTTCTCTCAGTTGGGAACAAAGTAGTTAATATTTACAGGAGATGTTTAGTCCATCGTCATGGTGACCGCAGAAAATCAGGGAAACATGAGACTGTGCCAGAGATTTATTTATTGATAACTGGAAATTGAGATTTATACATGGTAAAATTAACCTCAGAAGCTGGGATTGTAGTATAGATTTAACCCTATTAAGGTTTTCTGGTACTGCTTTAGAAGTGAAAGGTATGAAAAATATCTCATATATATATATATTTTAAAGAAAGACTATGATGGTGAGTAGGGAGGTGGGGAGGATCAGGGAGGAGTTGGGGTAAGTAAAATAATATGATCAAAATGATATATGAAAAAATGTTTCAGGGGCCGGGCGTTGGTGGTGCACGCCTTTAATCCCAGCACTCGGGAGGCAGAGGCAGGCGGATCTCTGTAAGTTCGAGACCAGCCTGGACTACCAAGCGAGTTCCAGGACAGCCTCCAAAGCCGCAGAGAAACCCTGTCTCAAAAAAACCAAAAAAAAAAAAAAAAAAAAAAAAAAAAGAAAAAAAAAGAAAAAATGTTTCAGATAAAAAAAAAACTTGCCTAGAAAGTTTACTTTTGTTTAATTAGATTCTTATTTACTGCCCCTCCCACCAAGAAAGAAAATAAAAGGGAAAAAAACCTATCAGGAGATAAAATTACAGGTTTGGTTATTTTTGTTAGTTTTTCGAGACAGGGTTTCTCTGTGGCTTTGGAGGCTGTCCTGGAACTTGCTCTGTAGACCAGGCTGGCCTCGAACTCACAGAGATCCGCCTGCCTCTGCCTCCCCAGTGCTGGGATTAAAGGCGTGCGCCACCAACGCCCGGCCCTTATTGCCAGTTTTTACAATTAAAGAAAATATATTCTTTTATTTACCTTGTATCCCAGAGATCCACTTGACTCTGATTCTGAGAGTGTTGTGATTAAAGGGGTGTGCCACCATGCCTAACCTGATTTTACCCCTACAGAGAGAGAGAGAGAGAGAGAGAGAGAGAGAGAGAGAGAGAGAGAGAGAGAGAATGAATGAATTCCTGATTCTTTAATTAACAAAGCATATTTTTTTCAGCTTAAAATAAGTTTAGAGGAAGAAACAATTCTGTCTGCAACTGTACAAATAAGTAGTGTCTGTTGAAAGCTGGACTGCATATTTCATAAATTAAAGTTCTTGTGTATTTCATGCTTGTCTGATGGAAAGTAGTGAGTGTTAAACCTGAGAATTTCGAGAAGACCAAACCCATCATTGTCCAACTGAAGCAAGCTTTTTTAAATACTGACCAGGAAGGTAGACACTAGCCAGATCTGTATCCATGATTCTCAGAGAAATGGTGCTGCATTAGGTCCGGCAGGTACCTATAAAGGACAGATCCACAAGGCCACTGTACTTTACACCTGGGCCAATGGGGGCAAACATTACATCCTGACCTACTTCCTGTCTATGTAAATCTCCAGCCTTCCTCTGATCAAGCACATCCTGTACAGATGGGGCAACCAGCCTTGTTTATTGAAGTGACAACATGTGACTTGTTATCTGTAAGATAACAAGCAGCAGCCCCCAGCACTCCAGGACATTTTCTGTCCTTGAGCAAGTGGGGCTTGCGGGTTAACTTTCACCCTAGCTGAAGTCAGAACCTTAGTGACGAGGAAGATGAGTAAGGCATTGGCTTTGCCCTCTTCATGATATCAGTGAGGGAGGCCAGACACATACAGCTGGGAAACAAGAAGCAAAGTGTAGCAACAGGAAGGAGCCAGGGCCAAGATGACAGCCCAGTGCACACCCCAGCATCCTTCATTCAAGAGGCTTCCTTCTCACAGTTCTGTTCAAAGTTTTGAATCTATCAGTGGATTAAAATGGGTTAGGTTGGTGCCCTCAAGATCCAGTTGTCCCTGGAAAAACCCTGAGGCACATTGAGAGGTTGCTGTATCTCTGTCCAGTCAAGTGGATAATTAAGATTAAAAATTGCTTGGGAATCTCACGTATTTAGAAAACCTTTCTTCTTCTTCTTTTTTTTTTTCTTTTGGTTTTTCAAGACGGGGTTTCTCTGTAGACCAGGCCGGCCTTGAACTCTCAGAGATCCGCCTGCCTCTGCCTCCCAAGTGCTGGAATAAAGACATGCCACCTTTCTATGTGTTTATATATATGCTGATGTAGTTTTGCTTCTCTGTAGCTTATTTTGTGTTTGGACAGTGTAATTTACTTTTTCCTAATTTTTCCTCTAGCTAAAAAGCAGATTAATTTAAAATTTTAAGACCAAGTTAATTTTAAGTCTTTTATTTTATTTTATTTTATTTTTTTGGTACTGAGAGAATGTTTAGCTGGGCGGTGGTGGCACACGCCTTTAGTCCCAGCACTCCGGAGGCAAAGGCAGACGGATCTCTGTGAGTTCGAGACTAGCCTGGTCTACAAGAGCTAGTTCCAGGACAGCCTCCAAAGCTACAGAGAAACCCTGTCTTGAAAAACCAAAAAAAAAAAAAAAAAAAAAAAAAGTTTGAAATGTGGTATGAAAAAATTCTCTTTTAAGTTTTATCATTTCTTTGAAGTTTTCTCAGCCTTGTTTGAAATTTTCCTTCCGGCTTGTTCTGTTTGTTTAAATGGGTAACTGATGCAGTTGCCAATTTGTTGGTTCTTTTAATCCCATTGTTCATCTCCTGGAGAATTTTACACAGTACTAGCAGGATCTTCTGTTTGTAATTAGAACCACGTCCAGGAAACCAACTGCTTAGGTGTAGAATTCTAACTTTGGCAGACCAGTGAGCTTTTGAAGGAGTGTCAGTTTTTCTAACAAATTCCCTTTCAAATTTATTATTTTTGTACTAAGTTATTTATTTGATATTTTGTACCCTCCAATAACATTACTTGGAAAAATGACTCTAATTCAATTATGGAGCAGGTTTTACATGTTTTGTGTTGTTTGGTTTTTAAAAATTCTTCATGAGGTACCATTCTGAAACCAAAATATTTGTAAATCTAAATTGAGGTGCATGGATAAGAGTTCTTACTGCAGAAGCAGGAGGACCTAGGTTTGCTTTCCAGGACCCATGAGAAAAGCAAGCCATTGCTGCATGGCCATGTAAAATCGGGGGGGGGGGGGGAAGAGATGGGAGGATCCCTGGGGCTTGCTAGCTACCAGCCTAGTTCCAGGTTGAATCAGAGACCCTGACTTGTCTGAAAAGATTAAGGCAGAGTGTGATACAGGCTATCAGTGTCTTTTTCTGGTCTCCACACATGCACATAGTGTCATAGATGTAATACACATGCGCGCACACACACACACACACACACACACACACACACACACACACACACACGGAAAAAAAGAAATCCAAATGGAAATAGAGGATGTGAAGAAATAAAAGTGAGCTTATATGTGTGTACATATTTTTTCTTAGTAACTGTTGATTATATGCTAAAGACTGTGGGATAGTACAGTTAACAAAGGTGAGACTTGGAAGGACACCTGGATTTGTATGTTTTCTTTCCCAAGTTACAACCATCTGATCTTAGCCTAGGTGCTAAACCTAAGGAGCCTCAGATTCCTCAAATATAAAGCAAAGAGAATTATACTCTTTATGTTGTGATAAGGATGGTGACTCTCCTCCTTTCTTCTTCCTTTTGAGACTGGGTCTCTCTATGTAGTTCCACCTATTATAGAGCTCATTATGTAGACCAGGCTAGGCCTGAGATCTTTACAGAGCTCTACCTGCCTGCCTCTGCCTCCCCAGTGCGGGAATTAAAGGTATCCACCTCACTCCTAGTGGGTGGTGTCTTCTTTTTCCCCAGCACCCACAATGCCTGGCATGGGGATGCTGAGAGAGTGGAGAGCTCCTCGCGTTGAGGGCCTGGCAATTACTGGGATGTGCTTGACATGATCCTGAGGGTAAGAAAAACAAACCTAAGTCCCATTGTTGATCAAAACAATTGTTGATCATACATAAAGCATTTGTGCATATTTCTGAGGCCCTTTAATAACTGTTCTTACTGTTTTAGGTCACTAAACAAAGAAGAAGAAAACTTAAAAGTTTACCCTTCTATACACTTCAGATCTCTCTCTTTGTTTTTTTGAGACAGGGTTTCTCTGTGGCA